TGGATGTGAAGGCGGGAGTGTCAGGGGAGAGGGAAAGCCCCCACCAGGAACACTAGTCCCAGAACTCCGTATCTTCAAGGACAGATGTGATGCACGTGTGACATAGTAGTGGGGGAGGGCAGTGTACACCCAGGAGGCAAGTGGGTAGGGGAACCGATAGATAAACAGGAAGCAGGTGGGGGACACTCTAGAGTTGACCTTACTCGACTCAGGGAGGGTCACAACCTCAGTTTTGAAAAAGAAAATCAGAAGGGCCTTTGGTTTCTCTTTGTCCACCTCAACTGTGAGATTAGTTGCTTGGGTCTAGATGGCGAGTCGGGGGTGAAGGGCGGGCAGGGCACCAGCCTGCAGCAGGGGCATGTTCCCCAGCAAACGCTTTTGGGGCTTCCCGGGGGCGCTCAGCCGCGGTGCACACAGCCGCTGGCTCCGGCTCCAGCTGGGACACTTGGTTACATCCCCTCCAGAGGGTGCGGAGAAGGAGATGACAGAGAGTCCGTTCTTCGAACGTGATGTGGTTGCTTCATAGCCCACCCTCGGGGGCAGAGAACCCCAAGGAGCCGGGTCCTCCTGGAGGAGTTTGGGCTCCCCAGTTCTGAGTCATGGGCAGCACGTGGGGCCAGCCCTTTCCTCCTGGACCTCCGCGTGGCCGTCAGCAGCTGCCGAGAGCTTGGGTGCAAGGGGCTGAGGGATGGTCTGGGTGGGTGCGCAGCGCTCCTCATAGCCTCCGTGGTACTACTGCGACCCCGTGAAGCCCGGCACAGCTCAGAGGCGCCCCTTGGTCTTTGTCTTGCACGTCCCGGGTCACGCGGAGGAGTGAGCTGCACCCAGACCAGACGTGTCTTCTCAGCTGCTGGTTGTCCCACGCTGGCCGGCACCACTGTCACCAGCTCGCTGGGGTCAGGCCGGCAGGGTCCAGCCAGAGGCAGGGGTCTGGGGCGGGGAGACACTGCCCAGGTCACGAGGGCGCCTTCAGGGACACCCAGTGTGGGGACTGATGGCGGGGTTTGGGTCTCGGTCCGCAGCTGCAGTCCCTCCGTGTGCCCAGCTGGGCGCAGCAGCTGTGGGCGGCAGACCCCAGCCCTGGGGTGGGTGCGACGGGCAGGTGGGCGCCACGCCGGCCCCCTCCTTTCCCGTCCTGGGCTCTTTGGCTAAGGTTCCCTCTTCTCGCCTCTTTTCCTTCCTACCCAGTTCCAATTTCTTTCCTTCTCACTAGAACTGTCAGGGCCGTTTGCCGTCTCAGCCTTCTCTCTTTCCAGTTTAAAGACTGTTCCCGTTTCTCTCCATCCCCTTTGCTTTTCTCCAGTCTGCTTCTGGCCAGACGGCTTGAGACCCTTCCCTTCCTCCCTCGTCTCTGCCCTTCCTGCTGTCTCTGGCTTCGCGGTGTTCTAAGGTGACCTGGAGCTCCCCGGGCGGCTCTCCGCTGGGCTGGCGACAATGGCCCCGAGGGGCAGGCCTGCACTCCGGGAGGTGACCTGGGTCCCTCCTCAGGCCCTTTCCTCCTGGGGCTGCTGCGCCCACACTCCAGTGCCTCCAGAACCTCGGCCACGGCCTTTTGTGGGGAAGGGTCCCCAGAAGGTGTCCCCTGCCCGGGGCGCCCCAGAAGGCCTCTCCCACCGGCTGGAGGCATCGTGCTCCTCCACCAACCAGCAGCCCCTGCAGCGGGACAGGCCTCCCCACCGCTGCCTCCGGAGCCCTGAATAAAAGGATTCTTTCCATTGACAATGACCTAAGATAGACACGCCAGACAAATTCTGAAAGGACGGCGATTCTCCGCTTCAGCATCTCCTCGAAAGGACACAAACCCAAGAACACAAAACTGGCTGGAGACAGATCTTTCAAAAAGAACCACGGCTACAGAGCACATCTCAAAATAGCTCCGGGGTTCAAAGTCTCCCCGGGGGAGCGCGCCGAGGCCTTCGCGGCCAGGCTCGCCTCCTGTGCCCACACAGGAGGGGGTCAGGGCTGTGTCCCGGGCGCAAATGCATCCAGACCCAGGGGAGGGGGCAGGCCGGACTGACCCCCACCCCAGAGACCCTGCTCAGCAGGCAGCGAGAGCAGGGAGCGCAGGACAGGACAGACCCCTCGGCAGCTGAGCTCCCTGTGCGCCGGGGCCGGAGGGCGCACCGAGAGGGTCCCGTCAGCACAAGTGCAAAGTCACCCTTCCGACACGCAAGGGGACGGAGAAGAGACAACTTTACACAAGTTGTCTTCACGGCTGCTCTTTGTGACAAGGGACTTCTGCTCCCTGTCAGCCCGGTGCCATATGCTGTAGGAAACCAGGGCCCTTGAAGAAGGAGCAGCTCCTGAATTATTGATCAATGATTAGCAAATGCAATCGAAATTGTAGACTTGATGTTGTGCGCAGATCCATAATTTATGAGTGGACAAAACAGGAGGTAGTAGAGGTAGCGGTAGGTGATTTCAGCCCCATATTGATTACTTACAACAACAGGAGGGGGTGTAGTGTGGCAGATGGACAAAGGCCGGCCGGCGGCGCGAGCAGAGCCGGGAATACGCGGCTGCGGAAGCAAATACGTTTCTATTGTGCCTCTTTGATCACCATGCTGTTCCATGAGACCAAAGGAAATATTTGTTTATAATTTATGTATTCTCTGGCTATAAAAGATTGATGGTGCCCTATTAGATGCTCCAGGATCTAAATTTCCAGATAGTTTGTGCTATGACAGCCCGCAACCCGGTGTTGTAGCGTCCTCGGCCGGCTCCGGCAGAGGGGCGCCCTGGAGGGCTGGGCCTGGCGGTGCCTGTGGGCCCGCGAGCGGCACCTCTACCCGCTCCCGCCCCCCCTCCCCCGTCCCACACCCAGAGCTGCAGCCCCGCCTGCAAGCGCATGGAAAACTCGGCCAGGACGCTGGTGACCTGATCCTAACCCTGTGGCCGGGGTTGTACCTGGACGTTTTCTCCTTCTGCGGAGTTTGGGAGAGGGCACCCTGGAGCCCCCAGTCTGTGGATGCTGTAGACTGAACAGTATACAGTTTTAAGTGCGTTCATAATAAAGGCAGTTTGGTCAGCTTAGGGCAATGGGGGGGGGGTTGCACCCAGGGGAGATGGAGCACAGTGGAGGGGCGGGTGAGGCAGCCACAGCTGGGGAGACTGTGTAGAAGAGGGGGGCACTGCTAACCACGGTCTAGGGGACAGAGGGGCACCCCGATGCCCACCACAGCCACATCCTCCCTTTCAAGGACACACAGTCTTTGCAGCCAAGGGGTGCTGGTGCTAGGTCTTCCAAAACTGGGGGCTCCTGAATGGGAGACCGGCACCAGACTCCAGTCTAGAGAGGGTTCTCTGAGCCCCTGCATTGCCAGTTGCTCCCCTGTAAAGTGGGGAACAAGCCGTGTCTTGTAGAGGCAGCTTAGACGAGACACGGAGCCGGGTACACAAGATGCATTTGGTGCCTGTTAATGTTTTATTACATTCGTAATGACTTCTGCTTCACTAAGCAAGACAAACCTGCATCCTTCACATTAGGAATTCCACTGTGCAGGCTCTCAACTCTGCGGTTTTCTATCTATCTACCTATCCATCTATTATCTATCTATCCATTATCTATCCATCCATCTATGCATAACCCATCCACCATCTATCATTTATTATTATCTATCCATCCCTTCATCCACCCATCACCCATCCACCTATCATCTGTTATCTATTATCTATCTATCTATCTATCTATCTATCTATCTATCTATCTATCTATCATCTATCTAATATTCATCTGTCCATCTATTATCTATCATCTATTTATCCATCCATCTATTATCTATCTATCTGTCAATCATCTATCTATTAATCATCTATCATCTATCTATCCATTATCTATCACCCACCTCTCCATCTATTATCTGTCTATCTATCTATCTATCTATCTATCTATCTATCTATCTATCTATCCATGTATCACCTATCTATCATCTATCCACTCATCTATTAACTATCATGTATACATCTATCCATCCATCATCTATCATCCATCTATCTATTCATCTATCATATATCTGTCTATCCGTCTATTATCTATCCATCCATCCATACACCCATTCACACATCTATTTATCATGTTTGTATCCATCCATCCATCCATCTATCCATTTATCATCTATCTAAGTATCTATCTACATCTATCTATCTACATCTATCTATCTATCTATCTATCTTTTTTTATTTTTTAACGTTTTATTTATTTTTTTAGAGAGACAGAGACAGCATGAGTAGGGGAGGATCAGAGAGAGAGAGGAAGACACAGAATCTGAAGCAGGCTCCAGGCTCTGAGCTAGCTGTCAGCCCAGAGCCTGATGCACGGCTCGAACCGATGAACTGTGAGATCATGACCTGAGCCAAAGCTGGATGCTCAACCGACTGAACCACCCAGGCACCTATTATCATCTATCTTTCATCTATTTGTCTATCAATCATCTCTCTATCAAGCATCTATCATCTATCCATCCATCCAAATATTACCTATTGTCTTTCTATTTATCTATCTATCTATCTATCTATCTATCTATCTATCTATCCATCAACTAAGACAATTTTTCCTAATTCTGAGCCCAACACCAAAATGTGGTGTGAATTGAGAACAAGGAGGCAAGTTTTTTTAAATCACTCTGTGGCTAGGATCTGCACAACTCTGTAAAAAACTGCATCCCAGTGTTAGAAGTGACCCTAAGAATCCAATGCAAATGCTCTTGAAAGTCCCAGCAAAGTATGTGAGCTTTGGGAACATTGTTCCGTTCTGGAGAAAATATAGGAGGAGGCTTTTGAAATCAGTTTGAAACTCCTGCCCTCTATTGTTTTAAAAATGTAAAACAAAACAAAATGGAACTTGCTCACAAGAGCCTTCACGGTTTCGCATCATCCTTTTTGGTTTCTAGCTAAAGCGGACTTTGAGCAGCTGTTTGCAGGAGCGCCAGCATCCCAGCTTACGTAACCGTTTCATGCTCAGATCTAGGAAATCATCAAACAACTCACAGGCCAACAGGTCCTAAATTTGTGAGGAATGTTTATTGCTTTAAAAATGGAACTCAGTTGCACATGCAGGGCGCACCAGATTCCCGGCCTCTGGGCCGCCTGTGACGGGGAGCACCTGCCGGAACCCGGACGCAGCGCCGGTGCTGCTGAACAAGGTGCTCTGTCTGCTCCTCAACGCACCTGCTGGGAGCCCCTGAGAAGCACAGGGCGTCTTCGTCTGTTCTCAGGAGGCCTTTCTAGCCACTGAAAACGATCAGGGTCAGCGTGCTCGGAATCTGCAAGGGAAGATTCTGAACTGAGAGGTGAGCCCGGCCGTGCACTAGGTCCCGGCGCTCTGATGCAGGCGCTCCCCTGGGAAGGCCCAGCCCCCCCGGCGCTGTGGGCTCCTGGGAAGCCACACAGGCTGACCGCCTTTCCTGGACACTCCTCTTTTGAAATGTGGGGCCCATGCATGACCTGCCTCCTGAATCTGGGCAGGCTTTCCACCCCTCGTGAGGTAGGGCAGGGCACATGGGATGTGAGGTGACTTCCGAGGTGAGGTCATAAAAGGCCAGCCAGCTGCTGCCTCTCACGGTCCCTGGCAGCCCCAAGCTGCCCCTCCAGAGACCGGGCTATGCTGAGGCCAGGTGCCAGGGGGCACTGGGGGTGCTCAGGCCAAGAGGTCTGTCTGAGTCCAGGCTTTGGGCCAGACCAGATGTGGACCGCCCCTTGCGAGAGCTCCAGAGCAGCCACCTGTCAGCTGAATGAAGAGTGTCCGTGCCACAGGGACAGAAGAATCACCCAGCTAAGCCCCAAACATCCCGGAAGCACAAATGACAAAACCTGATGAAACAGTTGGCCTTTGAGCTCCCTAAGCTTAGAGGTGGTTTGTTAAACAGCAATAAATGCTGCAATGCCAGGCCAATCCAAACTCCCAGGGGGCGGGACTCTGGGGGGAGTGAGTCCCAGAACACACGTGACTTCTTTCAAGGGGGCCTGTTATCTCAGGGACTTCCAGACCACAATCGGAGACTGCACACACATTTAACACAAACAAATGTTCGTACACTCCCCTCCAACACAGTCTGGTATGTTCTATTCTCTTCCTTTTTATTTAGATTTCATTACTGAAATGCTGGGGAGGCCCCTGCACTGCTGTCCTCTCTGGTCGTCCGCACCAAGACACTATTTCCCCAACACCTGCTGGGCGGCTTTAATTTCTCTTAAATGCTAGTTTTGCTTTATTCGCTTCCGGAGGTGATGACAAACAGCGGCAGGGTGTCTGGACTGCGTGAGCGTGGCCCCTGTCCGAGCCCCCGGGGGCCTGTGCAGGCACCGCTGGCGCACCGGCCACTGCAGGAGCTGGCCGCCTGGTAAGTGTCCACCTTGGGGACGGGACTTTCCGCATCTGTCCTTACCTGATGCTGTGGGCTGACCCCCATTTCTGCCTGGTGGTGAAAAATGGCCTTATTTGTATTTTACAGGTAAATTCAATCACACCCAGTGATTTCTCGTCTACCCCCAGTGTCCTCTGTCCCCCTTCTTAAAGCTGTGTCTGCACCCAGTCCTGTGAGAGTGACACCGGCAGTCTGTGGTCGCCGTCTCAGTCCTTCTCCCTGACCACCTTCAGGTCCCCAGCGGACACTGCCTGCCTAGGTGTCCCATCTCTGCGGGAGACCTCTCCCTGGTCCTGACCTCTCCCAGCTGCGTGGGCGTCCCTCTGAGGGCAGGGAAACCTCCAGACGGACCGCCAAGGCCCCTCCAGCTGCACTCCATTCTTGGCCGTGCGGGAAGGGGTCCCCGCTGCTTGTGTCTGGCGGGCACAGCCCCTTCTCAGGGTCTCAGATGGAGAGAGGATTGACCATTGGTCCATGGCAGCCAGTCTACTGAGGACGGAAATGGGGAGGGGGCACAGTGGCCTTGACTCCGTGCAGGTGTCATGCACTAACTAGACAGGTGTCTTCCAAATCCCGTGCTCCTCACCATGTGTTCCAGACTCAGGGGTCTGTTGTGCTCAACTAATTTGAAAATCAGCAACAAAACTCTTTCATGGAAAAAGCGTGGTCCTCAAAGACCAAGAAGGACTTGTCTTTCAAGACAGTTGACTCTGCTTTGCATTGAAAGACAAAGCAAATAGGCACAAAACAACGCCAACTACGAAAACACCTTCCTTTAGAAACCCATTGACTTCTTGTCCCCCCTCTACCCTGGTGCCTCCTCTCCCCAGGGCACAGGCAAGGGCGTGTGTGCACGTGTGTGCACCTGTGTGTGTTGGGGAGACAGCTCTGAGGGAGGGAGAGGGTCGATAAATAAAGATCAGCTTGTGTCTCTGGATTCTATCCAGTCATAGATAAATGCAGACATTTATGAAATATGGCTGCCTTTTGCCTCAAAATAGTGGGTGTGTAAGACCAAACAAAACTGTGTCGTGGAGACAAAGCTGGTAAGTAATAGGCAGGAAACGCCGTAGGGAAAGCACACTGCTAAGGGGTCAGAGCGTTGGGCAAGTTCACCTGAAACAGAGTCAGACCTTTTCTTTGACACACTGTCTCCGGGGTCCCCTTGGGGGAAGAACTGGGCACAGCTCACGGTCCCTCCCGCCTGGCAGAAACACATGTTTAATGGTGTGATGATGCTCGTCCCCTGGCGGAGGGAGGGGGACACGTGGCCATCCCCTGCTGTGGGTGCACTTGCCTCTACGTACAGAGTACCCACGACCCACTATGACCCCCTCTCGGCCCTTCCCGCATGACCGGGCTGTCTTTGCTGAACCGCCCTGCCCGGTGCCCGGGCGCAGCCTGGCGGTGGCCACCCCTGGGGTCCCTTGGCTTCGTGGCCAGGAAGTCAACACCTGGGGTGCGGAAAAGCGGGCTCAGGTGATGGAGCTGTGGTGGCTTTCCCGCCATCTGATTTCTGTCACTGTGGCAGGACTGAGGCTTCCGCCAGAGGCCGAGACCCTAAGACTGAGGGGCCCTGACTTTCCTGCTTGCTTCCGCGAGCCGGACCCTGCCCGTTTCTTAGGCAAATTCTGCCTTTTAAAGATTAATCGATTCCCTGAACTTAAATATAGTGCACTGCTTGCAGGGGGAGCTTCCCTTTGTAAAGCTGCTGAATGATTCAGAGGGTCTCATTATTTCAGCAGGGCCACCCTGCTCTCCAGCTGTCACCACCATATGCCGTGCCCGCCTGTGGACAGTGGCGGCGGGCAACCCGGGGCCCTGGCCCAGGGGAAAGGACCATGGCCACACGAAGGCTTCCCTTTCCGGGAGCTATGTTTTGGCCACAGCTAACTGCCACCTTAGGAATGACTGAATTTCTATAGGCAAGTAGGGATACTTCAGACGTGTTTTAAAAGGACACCAGTCACAGCAAAGCATCAGGACGGACAGAATGTGCTGGGGTCCCGTGAGGACACTTCCCTGGCCGTCCGCAACACCAGCCACTTGAAATCCGGCTACGTGAGACCACGACCCCTTTGGCAAGTCCATTGGCAAGCTTGTTGCACGAGGACTTGCATGAACGCGTTTGACAATAAATGTGGGTTCTCAGCAAGCACTGAGCGCAGCTTCAGCTAAGCACACCGCAGAGGGCGGTTCCCCTTCTGGAACCATCCTGAGCAGGTGACAGGCTTCCCCCGGGGGCGTGCCCCCCCCCCAGCTCCAAGCTGAAGACGCTGCAGGGGCGCCCCTAGACCAGAAGCCTGGGGTTGGAAGAAGATGGAGAGGCTCTGTGCGGGCAGATAAGACAGAAAGAAAGCTCAGGTGAGGGCCGGGGGCTGGGCCGCTGCCAGCGCAGCCCCTCGACTGTGAGGACCCCCCCGGGCACGTCCACACGGGGCTCCTGCTGGCGTCCCGGGCGTCCTGCACCTTGAGTTCCCAGGTCAGGGATGCCAGGCAATTGGTCTTCATACCATGGAGCCTTGACCTCGGGTGGCACCAAGTTCCGGATTCCAGAAGTTTCCAGGGACGACTGCCCTGGGCCTGGGTGTTCTATGCTTGTAGGGTGTAGAGGCTGTGAATCGATGCTATTGAGCGTCTCAGTGATGCTTCGAGAGGGACAAGCGTGGGAGGTTCGGGCCTTGCGGGAGCTGCAGTCAGTCGTCCCGGGCAGGCGGCTCAGGGGAGTGTGCCGAGAACCCTCCCCCCGGGCCTCAGCTTCCTCCCCACCTGGGACTGAGCAGAAGCAGGATGTGCAGGGGATAAATATAGTGCCTTGTGTGTATAGGTGTAGACATCATTCTTCCCTGGGGATTTTATCACTTATTCTTGGCGTTTGATTCTTAGAGTTCCTCTCTAGAGCCTTTGGTCTCTGAGAGGTTAGGTTCGCAGTAAGAGAAGACATAATTTGGGGGGAAAAACTGAATGGAAGCAATTTCTCTTTTGATGGAGCTGCTTTGGCCACGTGCGACTCCGTGTGTTTCCAGCTCGGGATGGAGGGGCACAGCCTTCTAACTCCGGGGCTCCCGCAGAGACCACGCGGTGGAGGCCCACCTCACCGGCACCTTGTTAGCAGCCGTGGCAGCCAGACCCGGCGTGCTTACCTCTTCCTGCCCACCATCTTGTCTTTTTCCACTGGTTCAGACTTGAGCAAAGAAAAGGGGACTGTAACATGCTCCGTAAAGACCTGCCAGGCCAGGTGCTAACCAAGTCACACCTTTGTCCTTTTAACCTTAAGGACTTTAATGCAGGGAGAACTGTTACGACCTCCATTCTACAGATGAGGTCTGGGGCTCGGGAGGGTCACGTTTCCTAGGACCACACCAACTATAAGCGGCAATGGAGGTTTGTTTTATGTGTCCACCTGACGGGATCACAGGGAGTCCGGTGTCTGGTTAAGCCTTATTTCTGGTGTGTCTCTGCGGGTTGTTCCAGAAGAGATCGACACCTGACTTGGTAGACTGGGGAAGCAGACGGCCCTCCCCAGTGCCCCGTGGCCTCACACACTCCATAGACCAAGCTCATCAAGCCGAGGGCGGAGGAAGGTTGAGGTCACTCCTCTTCCCAACATTGCTCCTCTGCCTTCGTTCCCCTGACTCTCAGGCCTTCACACCCACACTGGAGCCCACACTGTCTACTCCAGAGTGTAGACAATGGCTTGTGTGCGAGCCTGTCTGACCCTCATGATCCTGTGAGCCCATACCTTTTAACAAATCTCATTTATTCGTTCTGTTTCTCTGGAGAAAGCTGACCAAGACCAGAGGTGGGGTTGGACGCCCAGGTGCCTGACCCAGAGGCCCAGCCGTGGCGCCAGGGTAGCTCCACGGAATCACAGCAAGGATGGGCTCCTTCTGGAAGCTTTTGAAACCAGCCGTAGCAGGTGGGTAGAAACACACCCAGTAACTAAGCTTCTGTGACTGAAATGGAGGCTTTTGTTCACTTTTAGGGCACACTGGTTTGATTGTATTTCATTTCCAGGAAAATGTCCCAACAGTCTCTTGAACACACACTAGACATTTTCTACTCCGGCCGCCTGTTAGAGTCATCAGGGCTCTATGAAAAACACCGATGCCTGTGCCCTTTGTCACCTATGAAAACAGAATCTCATAGGGGGAGGGGCCATCCCAGCAGGGTCCTCTTTTTTTTTTTAAGTCAAAGATAATTGTATGTGCAGCCAAGTTTAAGAGCAAATGTACATCAAGTACTCATTCACCATATGTTGGGGGGTCTGTTTTCACCAAAAGACTGGGTACAGAAGATGCCGTTGCTTCTCAATGTTTATGGTGGGCGTGTTCGGAAGGTCACACGCAATCCGGCATGCACTTGGCCGTGGCTCCTGCAGGGGCCCGGGCTGTGAGCTGTGTGTTCCTCAGCCAGGACACGATCTTGTTTTGTGGGTGTTTCTCTTTGAAGACATCTTATTGAATATAAATATTTATTTATTTACTTTGAGAGAGAGTGTGTGTGTGTGAGCAGGGGAGGGGCAAAGAGAGAGGGAGGGAGAGAGACAAAATCTCAACCAAGCGCCTGTCAGCAAGGAGCCCAATGTGGGACTTGAACTCACGAGCTTGAGCTGAACCCAAAGGTCAGGCCCTTCCTGGACTGAGCCCCCGGGGCGTCCACTGGCCTATATGTATCGCAGACTCACTGGCATTGAGGTTTTGGCCGGTGTAACACTTGTAACACGGTAATCGGGCCTGAAAGCGGCTTACCTGACATGCACTTTCTGTGTGAGCACATTGCCGCCTGACGGCACTCGTTTCCACTTGTGGGCCATTCAACCAGTGGACACACCGACACTAGCACAAAATTCAGAAAGCATCGTGTTCAGTAGACTGCAGGAAGGATGGCTGTTGAGGGCCTGGGAGTGCGCCCAGAGGCCTGGGTCCACGTGCCCTGCGACCACACGCCCAGAGACTCGCACGTGCCAGCCCTCTGCACACGTGCGTGAGAGATGGAGAGGCTCTGTGAGCGCAGCCGTCCCCTCCCCGCCACGGGGACACGTTCCCAGACGCCCGGCGGGGGTAGGTCAGACCCTAGGAGGCGTGTGCTTTTTCCTGGTGCTTTTTATACTTGTGATAAAGTTCAGTTTACAAACGAGTCGTGGAAATAGACTAACAACGTTTCGTAATGAAACAGGACGATTATAACAACATAAGGAAATAAAAGTCATGTGGGAATCTCTCTCTCTCTCTGCGTCTTGTTCCACTTGTACTCACGCCACTTCTCCCTGTGATGCTGTGAGATGATGAAATGCCCACGGGATGAGGAGGCGTGAGGGACTGACGTAGGCGTGTGACACAGTGTGAAGCTACCGCTGACCTTCTTTTTAGATTTTTTTAACGTTTATTTACTTTTGAGAAAGAGACAGAGTCTGAGTGGGGAAGGGTCAGAGAGAGAAGGAGACGCAGAATCCGAGGCAGCTCCAGGCTCCGGGCTGTCAGCACAGAGCCTGACACGGGGCTCAGACTCATAAACCGAGAGATCATGACCCAAGTCTAAGTTGGACGCTCAACTGACCGAGCCACGCAGGCGCCCCGCTCCCACTGACCTTCTGACCGCGTATGAGAAGGAGGTCCCTGCCTCCCGTCAGTGGTGACGGCAGAAAGAGGAAGGCAGGCTTGCCGCTTCCGGGCAGACCTGAGCCAGTAGGAGAATCTGCAGACGTGGACCCACAACAGACAGGCAGGCGGCATTCCGGTTTTGGAAGCCGGTGAGTCGTCTTGGTGGCTGAGCACCGCCGTGTCCCCGAGGAAGCCTGCTCTCTCGGGGACAAAGGGAGGTGGCAGAGGAGCCTGGCTCGCTGTCCTGTGAGCCTCGGGGCGGCGGTGGCCTGATGCTGCTTCCCTGTTG